AGGTACGCTCTCTGTCTGCCAGTGAGCTGAACCGTGCCAAGATGGAATAGCTGAACTGAGACTGAGATTTGGGGTTGGGTGGGGGCTGTTTATGGGTTTGGACTCCTACCAAAAGGAATTGGGATTTTGTATCAGCTCCCCCAAATGCCTCCAAGTATCCTGTTGATCGTCTCCCTGTGCATCTGCTTTACAATCTTGGCTATTATGGCATAGAAAGCTGTAAAAGATGAAGGAAAATTAAAATGGGCTGACGAGATGGAGGACAGAAATAAGTTGTTCTAATTCTGATTTTCGGTAATTTCTGAAGTCTCATGCTGAATCAGACCCTTATTAGGCTTGGATCACTTCTGTCTAGGTGGCTTTTCAGATCTTGCTGGAGACGTCAAGTTAAGGCGTCCATCTTACCATTTCTGCCTTTGAGAATTGAGAAACGCCTCCTGAATTTAATTTGCTCTTCTAATTTTGGAGCTTAGGGTTTGGCAATTAAAAACTGGTTTGTATTTAGGCTTAAAATCATAATTGGGGGGAACTGTTATATTCCCCCAACTTCTGGTGCGCTGTCCTGAGGAATCCATTCTGTTTATGCCCTGATTAATTGTGCATTAAGAATGGGATAGAGTGCTATTAAACTCGGAGACTAACAAAGATTAAGTGCTAAAAGATTTTGTTTATTTGTTATAGGATCCTGCTGTCTATAATATGGGTAAGCTTTTAAATCTCCTCATTTGTTTGTAAGGTTTTTGTTGGATTTATAGGCTACATCTAGGTTTTTATTTTGATCCTTTGGTTACAAAAAAGGTATAGGACTTACAGTAAAGAGAACAGGAGGAGTTGTGTGGAAAAGGGAAGAGAAGTAAGAACATGGCTACTGCTCCCTCCCCGATCTCAACTGACAGGAGGTATTTTGATCTTAAAATGTTTATTTTTTTTCTAAAATGCCCCTTCCTGACAAATTGACTGAAAACAGGTCTCAGGAGGCGAATTGACTGAACCAATATTACCAGGTGTCCTGTCAGTTTTTATCCTTCCCGCTATTTATTATTTAATAAGCAGGCAATTGTTCCTCTCCACCAGGCACAAATTGTGAAGGTGTTGAAATTTAAACATCTCTCTGAGGGAGGGGAAAAATTAACCCTCTTGTTACTGCTTCCAATTGTCTGTTGCGATCTATGCTGCTGTTAGAGCAAGATTGAGGGGGAGAAATATTTATTTCAAGTTAGAAGTGGGGGCTGGGAGGAAAAAGCGGAAAAAGGACAGAAAACCTCACAGCATCAATCACTTGGAGGGCAAGGCAGTAAGTGATCCAGCCTGACGTAAATTATGATCAATAGAGCCAAGTGCCATTTTACTACCTGGGAGGTATGAGTCTCCCAACTTAGGTTTGGCAGCCTTTTTGATATCTAAATACCGCTGATAATTAATTAACTTTTTTTGGATGAATAAGAGATAACTATAACAATAACAATATTATTGGGCGTAGATGAAATGGATTGTGTTCTATTTTTTTTTTTTTAATTGACCTGGAATTAAACAATAGAGCCAAGCCCAAGGGCATGTTTGGATTGTCCCCAATCTATTTATGTGGCAAGGAAAGTAGGTGGCGGATCTGTATGCTACAGCATTCAAACACGCCTGGGCAGGCATTCATTTTGGGGGCCAAAGTGAGGAACTGGACATAACCTGTTTTAATTTATGTGATTATCTAGAAGAATGGTTAGGACTTGTATTTTGGGAGTCTCAGGCCCAAATTGTTGTCTTAGTTCCACTGAGTCCCCTTTTGCTTGCTACATGCGTTGTTCCTGGGTCTTTACTTCACACATTGTGGGTTGGGATGTTACAATAAGGATATATGTCACATGTCCACTATGAAGATGGAAGTGACTCCACCTGTAGCACCTGAGGGGGTCTTTGCTGCTCTTAATCCACATTTATTTCAGAGGGCACAAACTACCCCCCCCCAATTCAGTGTGATGTTAGCTCTCAATCACTTTCCAATCTAATTTTTTTTACAAAAAAAGGAAAAAAAAGGGGGGAAGGATGTAGAAAAAAAAAGATGCACAACAATAGAAACAGATACCAATTAAACAGAATAATTCTGTCTGGCTGTTAAAAGATTTTCGTTGTTTGTGTCTTTTTACAAAATAAGAAATTATTTTTACATGGTGTGCCTTCCAGACCCTTTTGTTGAAGCTCCCTGTTAGCACATGTAAATATGTTTATTGATTTGTTGAAGGGAGATGACAGATTCCTTCTCTTGAGATGTTGCTTTCATTAGTTCAGGTGGCTTGCTGAGGTATAAAGGAATGAATTTTTAAATTTCAGATCAATGTTTTCTTTCTATTTAATAAATGGAAAGAGTTGGAAATGAGACGCTCTAATTTAACCTAATCAATGTAATAATTTGATGCCCTAGGTAGATTAAAAAAAAAACTTTAAACATTTCTCTCATAGGTAACTCTCTTAATCTTATGGTACTAAGTTTGGGAACTTATGAAAAGCCATTCAATAAAAAAAGAATTATCTTGAAAAATAAATAACTTTTTAAAAGCCCAAGTTGCTTGTAAAGTTTCTATCTACCTGAAGCTTCAGGCAGACAGTTAATAAATACAGAGAAGAGGGAGAGATCATATAAACTAGTTTTATTGAAAGCTGGTTAAAAGAAGGGCAAAAAGGAGCAATGGTTTTTGATGAATGGAAAAAATGCTTGGCTAGAGAGAAACAAAATAATATAGCATGCAAGAAGATATTGAAGTGATATTGCTCTACATTTGGCATCCACTTGGCTTAAAAAAATTCCAAACTCTACTTTTCTTTTCAGATTCATAACCCTATGGTGTAAGCAAAATTTGAGGTTCAGTCTCAACAATTTATTCTGATAATTGCCAGAGTTTCTCTCTATGACCATTTTCTCAAGATGGGAATAAAATTATTAGTAAGTTTTGTTCCTGAAATATATTAATACTGAATTTTTATACAACTATGTGCACATATATATATATATATGTGCTATTGAACTGAAAAATATACAAATAATAATTATGTAAACTTACTAATCTTTACATACCTGTATGGGTTACTACCAAAACCTGAAGTATATTGTAGATTATACAACATAGTTCAATACACAGAAATTATTTTATTTTTCTCTGCAATTCAGCATAACTATTTCTTTAACTATTTGCATACATCATATACATTATATATGTATGATAATTATTGGCATTTAAATTTTATATGTTTTGATGTTTTCAGTACAATACTGACTGTATCTCTTCAATAATAAAACAATGGCATATTGAAGAATACATATTAGACACTGCTAAAGTGAATACCTTTTTCATGTAGGTGAATACTTCTTAATATTCATTTTTTTAAAATATGAAGATGAATGGTAGCAATTTGTATAAATGATTAATTCATATGCATGCTACAAGTACATTATATATGTATAATTTATCAAACATACATTTTGTGAATATAGACGCAACAATTTTAAGAAATACCTCATTTTGTGTGCAGGACATGTATAATAACCATTTTATTAAAATAAACTTAATTCTTCTGTAACTAGAAGAAAACAATTATCTTACTGATCTGATTGTTTTACTAATTGCTTTCTAAAATCCATTCATTAATTTTTTTGAAAAACAAATATCCATTGCCTCTGCTTTCAGTTGTAAACTCTATTCATTAAACAAGAGATACCTATTTGGAAGAATGCTCATCAGTGTGTTGCCCTAACAGCTGGTTGCATTGTTATGCAAAGTTTTGATTTCAGATTTACTACTGTATCAAGAAGCAGAAGGTATTTCTTTAATTATGGCATGGTGAACTGAAGTTTCACAGTAGATTAATATAAGCAATTTAATAAATAAATAAATAAATAAAGCCCCTTTCCAGGCTATCTAGAGATGTGTAAATAGAACAAACACAGTATCCTTTTTCAGCTGCTTTTGATCCAAATGGTCTGAGAATCACAAAATAGAATTCTTTTCTCAATAGTATATTGCCTTTTGAAATATATTTCAAAATATATTGAAATTGGCTTTTTATTTTGAAATATATATTTATTTTATAAAAAAAAGCACAAAAGAGCCATTGAGGATAGAGAAAAGGAGAGAAAAGTTGAATTCAAGGGTAATTTCCAATTCAAGAATTTTTACTCAGTTGATAGCAACACTGAATTGCAAATCTAGAAATTTTCTTAATGGAAGAATCTCTGTTTAGTGATAAATACCAGAAATATATTTTATGTGTTAAGCCATATTCTTTTTCTTTGAAAATTCCTAAGCATAGAACCAATGACCATTTATAAACACAGACTTATTTTAAACACTGTCTGTCTTATGTAGACTTTATAATACTGATGTTGCTGTTTTATTTTAGATCGCTCATTACAAATGTAAAAATGAATGAGAATGAATATACAGAGCAATGACAATTTTAACTAAAGTTAGAGGAATTAATCCCTTCTTCTAACTCTTTATGAGAGTACTCATGACTAATAAAATCACTCATTTGAACTGCAAATTCTACAACGTAATGCTATAGATACATATCACAATCCTGAGATGTGAGATGGATTGGGCTCCAAGTAATTAGTTGTGAAGTTTTTTGCACTTAAAATACATTCAGGTTTAGACTAAGTTTTGAGAACAGGTGCACAGTGTTTATGATTAAGAAATAAGGCAAAGGTGAATGTTAGCTTAGGAGGAGTTAGGGTTTAAAAGAGGAGGAGCTATTAACGGTCACTGTGGTTAATTGTTGAACTGGGAGGGGTCCTAAATTTGAACAGGTAGAATGAAGAACAGGTAGGTATAATAGGCTACAACAATCAGTAAAATGGGACTGGGATGTAGATGAAGTTATTTGGGAAGAGGCAGAGGCAACAGAAAAGGAACTCACATAGATCTGTATACAGAAAAAGAGAGAAAGGTAAAGCAGGAGAAGATGACTGTGGAAAGGAAAGACTTTGGGGATAAGAGAGAGCATTGCTTTACCTGCCCGTTCTTCATCAGATCTGCCCACATGCTGGTACCATCACCACCACGCATGAGCACATGGTAGGTGAAGAAGTAGATGCCAGGTAGAGGGCAGGTAAACTTGCCACTTGATGGTTCATAGTAGTTTCCCACATTAGTCACCACATCATCAAAACGAAGGATCTCATACCCTTCGTGTGGTTTCCGCAATCCTGCATAAAAGGCAATTTTAGGACTGTAGAAAGATGGGATGTAACCCCCAGGACCTGGACCCGGTGGGCCCGGGGGACCTGGTTTCCCTGGCTCTCCGGCTGGACCTCGGGGCCCAGGTGGCCCTGGCGGTCCTGGCGGCCCACGGATTCCAGATTTGGCCTTTCTCCCTGGGTCTCCTTTCCCTCCAGACACGTAAGGCGGTGGTGAGATGAGAGCCAGTTCTTGGCTTGCCTCTGCTGAAGATGCCCCGTGGGTCTGAGGAGAGTACGGATCACAGACCATGCGACAGCTGCCCAACATCTCATAGTGGGAGGTGGTTTTGGAGCTGTGCACCAGCAACGGGATGGCCACCAAGAGTACCAGCACCATGGCCACCCCAATGGCGGCCCCAATGACCCTTTTTTTGCGGCTCAGCCTGGAGGCGGCCAGGGTTAAAAAATCGTCTTCGCTTTTGGAGGTAATGATGGAAGTTTCTCTGGAGTCAAAAACCAGGCGGATGGAGACGTCCCCTGAAGCGTCCCTTGAGTGATGCTCTCCTCCGAGGTCCTGTCCTTGGCAATGAAGCACTGGTTTCCTTACAAGGCAAACTCCGTCCCAAGTTGTGCAGCTCTGCTTCTTGGTCTGCCTTTCCTCCACTAGAGAACTGCTCTCTTTCGCAGGAATCACTTTGTCTCGCTCCTACTTCCCGGAGAGCAGCACAGCAGCAGCAGCAACAGCAGCAGCAGCAGCAGATGTGTTAGGGGGTGGAGGTGGAAAAAGAAAGAATGTGTGTGCCAGTGTGTGTGTGCGCAAGAGAGCGAGAGAGCGAGAATATGTAAGTCTGTCTATGCTTTCCTTTCTCTTCTCCAGTGGAGAACTCAGCTGGTGGCCACGGAGCAGCTCCAGGCTTCCTGTGCCATATCATATGGCCATCAACGGGGGTGGGGGGGAGAGAGAGAGAGAGAGAGAGAGAGAGAGCAGGATTTCCTAACAAACAGGTCATCCAGCACCCCTCCCTTCCACATGCAAGACTCTTTCCATAAACTCAGAAAAAGATCAGACTGAGCTGTCCAAGAGGCAAAAAGTAGCTTTAAGCCAACCAGAGCGACCTCTGGTGCTTCACAAAGGAGACTTAGCGGCTCAGCTACGGAGACAGGTCTGTCTGAAGTCTGGAAGTGTCTCCTGCCATCCATGGCAGCTGGGCTTTCTGCTCGCCTTCCCTGAGCCTGGGGCAGATGCTCAGACAAAAGGGAGCAGGAGGCCTCCGTCCTCGGATGGTAAGAATCCAGATGGGCAACCATCCCTGTCCCTTGTCTTGGAAGGAAGAAGGACTCTTGAGGGATGGAGCCTCCCTGCCTTCCTGGCTTGGCCATTTGCATCGCTGAGGGAGGAAGAGACCCTGTAGTTAGTGCCCCCCTCTCCTCCATCTCTCCTGGACTCAGCTCACTCTGTCTACATCCTAGCCAACCCCCAGCCCCTGCTGGCATCCAGAGTCATGTTTAAGGATGTGTTTTATATGCTGGGGTTGTATCATTCCTCTCTCCCCCCCCTGCAATTAAGTGCTCTACCTTTGTGCCTCCTTTGCCTCTCTCAACGGAGATTGATTAACAGCTGACAGATCCAGCAGGAATCTCCTAGAGGGGTTGCAAGCCATCCCATTCATTAATTAATCAATTATTCCTCTTTCCCCAAACATCCAACTCTCTCTCTCTCTCTCTCTCTCTCTCCCTCTCTCTCTCTCTCTCTCTCTCTCACACACACACACACACACACCACTGCACAAAGAGAGGTGCCTTAACACTCTGATTCAGTTTGCTGAGATGCTATACAAAGCAGGATGGGAGGAGGCAGACTTAAAACTTCAGAGGCAGCAGCTACACATTGAGACAGCTGAGGAAATAGAACAGAACACATGCGTGAGAATGAGTACATGCCCCAGTCAGACTGCTTGCTCCTGCTGACATGGAGAGTATTCATAAACGTGCATGAAAAAAAGATCCATGCATAAATATGGGTACACATGTGAAAGAGATAATACGGTATCTGTTGGGTAGGCAAATAATATACAGTGATGTGCACGTGCATGCCTGCATTTACTGAAGTTTGCATTTGGTTTAGAGAAGTGTGTACTGGATAAATATCCTGGAAGGTTGAGGATATGTGCATGATCAATACATTTTAAGTGGCAGAGGAGCATCTGTCCCTCTTTATACATTATAGTATACACCTATGTGCTGAAAACAGAAATAGCTTGTTCAGAGGCAGGTTGAATTGTTTGATTAACTATTACCGGTACAAAACAAATTTTGGATCAGGATACTAGAGTAGGGCGATATTTTACTAAAGGCAGATACTACAAAAAAGGCCAATCCCTTTCACCTTTCACTATATAGAATCCTTAGGTCAGTGTGTTGTTATGATTTTATTATCCATTGCTCATTCTCTCTTTATAAGCATTAAGAACATTGTATGCCCATTACCTTGTCCTTTCTCTGTCCACATTTGAATCCACAGGCATACCAATGCAAGGCTTGATTTTTGTTAAACGTTATGGAGGCAGATTTCACCAAGTGAACAGAAAAAACAAAACTGAAACAGGCTTTTCCGCACGAGATCTACTGTATGTGTTCAAGAGTCATCAGAAACATGCAGGTATATGTGACCAGCATTAGATCTGTCCGATTAGAAAGAACTCTGTTTGCATTTATTTCTAAATCCATTACTACACTAATATATGTAGTTCTAGAGGATGCTTACTTTTGTATACATGCATTCATGAATGCACTTATATTGGGATGGGCAGAATTATATTTGTCTAATGATCAGAAAAATGTGCATATGTACTAAACACATACAGATACACACACGCACACACACGCACACACATCATCTCTCTGCCTCTCTCTCTCTCTCTCTCTCTCTCTCTCTCTCTCTCTCTCTCTCTCTCTCTCTCTCTCTCTCTCTCTCAGTTCATTGACATCTTCCTTCTGTTGTATCATCACTGTATGTTGATGTCCTTTGGAAGGGTGACGAATAAAGTGTGTTTTGAAGATGTTATTCTACTTTGTTGCTTCTGTTTGGTTTTTATCCGTTGCTATAAACTTGATATTAGGTAAACACAGTGAGTTTTAAATGGAAATGTTGCAGTTCCTTTTCTAGAAGAGTCGCTTTGCTCTCTACTCTGCAGCATTCAAAGAAGGAAGGAAGGAAGGAAGGAAGGAAGGAAGGAAGGAAGGAAGGAAGGAAGGAAGGAAGGAAGGAAGGAAGGAAGGAAGGAAGTTGTTTAAACTGGATTGGATCTGGATCTGAATCACATATACATGTATATGTTTGGTAAACAAGCAATAGATAAAAAAGAGAATGTGGCTGGAGATATTCCATATACCAGTGGAATTAATCCCCCCCAATAATATATGACCACAGTTGAGCCCAAATTTTATGTGGCTAAGCAAGACAGTTGCTAAGTGACTTTTTGTCAAAAGTCACTTTGTTCCATGCCATTGTAACTTCAAATGGTTACTAAATGAATGGTTGCAAGGCAAGAACTGCCGGTAATAACAAATGCCTGTGTGGCGTTAACAAACCAGGTGTTCTCTCTGGAGGTTCCTCCTTTGGGACAGTGCAACTGCCTCCCCGTCTGCCTGCACCCCAAGGCAGGGGTGACTCCCATTTTCATAGCCTCCTGGAAACCTGCAAAGAGCTGGCCCCTCTGGAAAATCTTTGGAACCAAATATGTAATGACTAATAATATAATGCAATATTTGGATTTATTCAATGTACTATTGCTTTGGGTTATAAACTGCTTAGAGTCCCCCAAAACAGTTTAGTAGTTTCATAATCGATCAATCAATCAGTTTCCCTGGTGGTAACATACATATTTTCTTCCTGCAAGAAGAATTCTACTGGAAACTTCTTCTGGGTCTTCTATGGCAGGGCTTTTCAACCGGTGGTACGCGTACCACTTGTGGTACATTAATGAGTGGCAGGTGGTACGCAGCCCTTCCTAGCCAAATGCAGTGGGGGAGGGAAAGAGCCAGCACAGGCAACGACTGTGAGGCAAAGCAGTGAGAGAATCATCTGGAGCTGCAAAGGCCCCAGACTCACTTTTGGCTCACCCTCCCCCATGAGAAAGGAGGAGGGGGCGGAGACAGGAGAGCCTATGAGAGAAGGCAGTTTGGGCAGGAGAGGGAGAGAGAAAAAAAGTAGCAGCCTTGGGAGGAGGCAGAGTCAGCTGCACAGGAGGGGGAGGGTGGGGGGAGAGGACATCAAGCAGGCTGGCCATGAGCTGATCTACAACTGCTGTGGCAGCCACCTGTGCTGGCAGCAGCAAACAGGCAAGAAATGCAGTGGGGGAGGGGTCACCCTCCAAGAGGAATGAAGAAATGGCTGGAGGTGAGGCACAGAGGAGGGAAGGAGATGGAGAGTGGAAGGATTCTTATGTGCTTTTGTGACTTTGAAGTTCTGGGATTTGTGCAATGAGGCTTTGTGTTCTTAAGGAGTGTTTGGCAATTTCTATCTGGCTGATGGCTGATGTCTCGTGTTAGCTTCTATTGCTCTGCTGTTGTTAGCTGTAAGTTTTGCTGCAAGGGATTTTGAAGTATTTTTCTCCTAAATGGATTTTGCCTGTAGCGTTCCTTTACTTATGAATGGAGCCATTTGGGGAGGTTGCCTTAGCTGGCAGCCAGTACTTACATTTTTTTTACTTCTTTAAGTGCAGGCTGTGCTCCTTACTTTCCTTTCTATCCAGTAGCTAATTCTTAAAGGGGAATGTGCCTTTTAAAGCTAGTTCACTCAACAGCTTGTCTTTTCTGTCTCTGGAGGCCTTTCCTTGTTTGATCAATATATGGAAGAGGGAAAATAGGGGGGGAGTTCAAATTCCTCCTTCAGAAGAAGATGGGAATGAGAAAAAGGGAGGCAGGGAAGGGAGGGAGGAAAGAAAGTCCCACATTAGCACTTGGCCACCAGCAGCTCTACCATTGACTTTGCTTGTCAAAAGGTTGCAGAAAGGGATCGCAAGACCATTATAAATATGAATCAGTTGCCAAGCATCCAAATATAAATCACATGACCCTGGGCATGCTGCAATGATCATAAGTGTGAAAAATGGTTATAAGTCATTTCAGTGCAATTGCAACTTTGAACAGTTTTTTTTTTTTTTTTGGTCAAGTTTTTGACACCTTGCTAGGTGGTACTCGAATATTGCCATATCCTAAAAGTGGCACAATCGGTAAAAAGGTTGAAAAGCCCTGTTCTATGGGAAAGCTGATGAAGAAGGGAACTATTTGCTAAAGTGGAGCTGTGTGGCTAGCAAATCCCAAAGATGTGTGGTGCAAATGTGTGGGGTCCCCCCCCCAGCCTAGTGTCTTCCAAGCAGGTTTAACAGAGACTTCCATCAGCCCCACCCAAAATAGCTCTTGGATGTGTCAGGTTGATTCCAATACATCTGAAAGCTGCCTACCTGAGCATGTACAGATAGCCTTTGTTTAACAACCACACTTGGGCCTGGCAACTCAGTTGTTAAGCAAAGCAGTCATTAAGTAAACCTCAGCTTTCCTATGCTTTGCCAACCTTCGGAGGTCATAAATGTGAGCCCTGGTTGCCAAGTTACATTTTCATCACCGTCATAACTGCAAACGTTCACTGTCCAAGGCAGTCGCTAAACAAGGACTCCCTCTGTAGGAATGACTGAACTATTCTGCCTTCCTCAGTTCTGTCTGGGGGACTGATGTCATCCCTGCACAGATGATAACAGTTTGGGCTGTGGGATTGATGTAGTGTTAATTCACTTGCATGTGTTTGTGTGTGTGTCTGTGTGTATAAATATGTATTTTAATATGCAGTGTTTAAATCTTTACACTCAGCACCTTGTTGCTACTTCCTGAGGTTGTATACCATACAGTATAAGCTAAGCTGGTGCT